CCAAAATTTCCTTTCTGTAAGTACAAACATCTTTTTGTATTTGTGGATACTCTTCTAGCTGGGTCTTGTAAGAGATGGCTTCTAAAAATATGGTTTTCTTGATTTCATCAAAGGCAAAAGCCTGGAGGCCTGTCCAGATCTCTTCAACCTTGAGGAGAGGGAGCTTGGAGTTGAGGGTAATAAAGCAGAAGCTCCTCTGTGTACACTGATCAGCCATACCTTTATGACCACCCATCTAATATTGAGTAGGTCCCCCTTTTCCTGCCAAAATAGCCCTGACTCATCGTGGCATGGTGAGTTGAGAGGTCCTGTGAGTTGAGAGGTGGGTGCTACATGGATTAGACTTGTATTTTCATCACATTCTACAGATGCTCAAATGGATTGAAATCTGGAAAATTTGGAGGCCAAGTATGAAACCATTCTTGAACCATTTTTGCAGTGTGTCTGGGCACATTATCTTGCTGAAAGAGGACACTGCCATCAGGATTGTAATGGTCAGCAACAATGTTAGGTAGGTGGTAAAGTAAAATCCACATGAATAGCAGAACCCAATGTTTCCCAGCACAACATTGCCCAAAGCATCAGACTGCCTCCGCTGGCTTGCCTTCTACCATACTGTATCCTGGTGCAATCTCTTCACCAAATAAGCGACTTGCATGCACCTGTCCATCCACTTCATATAAAAGAAAACGTGATTCATTAGACCAGCACACCATTGCTCCTTGGCCCAGTTCTAATGCTCACATGCCCATTGTAGGCACTTTTGGCCATAGACATGAGTCCGCATGGTCACCCTGACTTGTCTGTGGCTATGCAGCCCCATACACAACAAACTGCAATCCCCATTTTTTCTGCCTTCAACACATCAACTTCAGGGACAACATGTTTACTTGCTGCCTAATATATCCCGCTGACTTTCAGATGCGATTGTAACGAGATAATCAGTGTTATTCAGTTAACCTGTCAGTGGTCATAAAGTTCTGGCTGATCGGTGTATGTTTTTGGTTATATGATCCCATAGTAAAGCATGCCTCCACAAACTCCTTAGACCCTGAGCTTTAAATCTGTGAATAATTGGTTGTAGTACAGACATCCACTATTGTAACCAATGTCTGGCTATTGCAATCTCCTGTGTTAGCTTTAATAATTCCTTGATCCTATTCTGCATAATTTCACATTTGTCATGGTCTTATCCAGTATAGTTGCTCACTATTTTAATGAATGCATCCATGAATTTAATTCTATCCTTTAAAAAAAAAAAAAGGAAATAAAATCTGCAGCACTACCTGCTACTAGAATCTATAGATAGCTCAGCCAGAGGCACATAGGTCTAGAGGAACTGCAGCCTCATGACAGCTTAGTGGCTGTTTTTCTTCCCGCTGTCATAACGCTTATATTCAAAGTGTGGCAGACCTGCCTGACACTCTTCTGCTGTATATATAAAAAGACTCCAAAGGCCAGGGGGAGGTCACAGAAAAAGGCAGCAAGTTGTTTTGCCTGCATTCAAATTCAGTAAAGGGATGGATATCATCTTGGAGCTGTTCCATGTAGCAGATGTGACTGCTGAGCCTGAGCTGCTGGAATGAGCCAAGTGTGATGAAGCTCATCTTCCTTGTTCTGCCTTTATTCCCCAGGGTGACGGCTTACTGAGAGCTCCTGCTAAGTCACACACACACAGTGCTCGGTTCAGACATGCCGAGTCCTGGAATCCCTCACTGGAGCTTCTCGACAGACATTGCATTTAAATTGATGTTGTTTTCAGGAAACTATTTTTTTGGATACAAATAAAAGAAAAGAGTCTAATACCTTTGATCGTGGTCTTTGTTGTCAAAAAAAAAGAGAAAAAAAATGTTTTTGATTTGTATTAGTTGCGATTAATTGTAAATAGGATATGCAGGTATTATTATTATACAGTATTTATATAGCGCCAACAGTTCGCTCAGCGCTGTACATTACAATAGGAGACAATACATGAGACAGTACAATAACAATACAATGCGATACACGAGGGGTTCGAGGGCCCTGCTCCTTGGAGCTTACAATCTAGGTAATGTAGAACGACTAATCAAACTATAATTAACAGATCTACCAATGTTGGCATTGCTTGTTTATTTTTGCATAAAGTTACCCTTATGCCTTGAAATGTAACGGGTAGGTTTAGAACCCGTCAGGTTGTTGTACTCTCCACTAGTTAGATTTGTCCTCTGTTTTTCTGGTGTCCATTGGGGTAGGTTTATTAATTGAAAAGAATGTAATTATATGGAGGCCCTTAAAGAAGAACGAAGTCCTAAAAATGTTTTAGTAGATCTCATGGGTACCAAATAGTTGTATCTTAGGAGGTTTATGCCATAACCTTGATCACTGCCGTTTCTGCATTTGTAGAATTGTAGCTATTCTAAACAGCAGCTTCATTGCCCACCCTCCTCTCCTCTGCCTACTTATTTACATATATATTTTACATTCACATCAATCCCTGCCATCAAGGAGCTTACAATCTAAGGTTCCTAACTTGTATTCGTACCTGCATACTAGGGCCAATTTAGATAGGAGACCATTAACCTACCAACATGTCTTTTGGAGTGTGGGAGGAAACCGGAGTACCTAGAGGAAACCCACGCAAGCACATGGAGAACATGCAGCAGGGAGTGTCATGGTTGGGAAACAAACTCCCCTTGTGCTGTGGAAATGCTAACCACTTAGTCACCCCCACCGTGCTGCCTCTTTGTATTTTGTAGATGGGTTATTAGACTACAAAGCCTTCTATGACTGGATGAGAGAAAAAGCGTGCAGACAAGAGGACAGCTTTTGTGTATGAGAGCTGCAAGTTTGAGTGCTGGAAGTATAGCGAAAACTTCAATTTCATGTGTTGAGGTGCATTTCCAACTTTTTTAAAATGAAGGGGCTGTCTAACACAAAGTTCCTTAATACACAGAAACATACAGTGAGGTGCCCTGCATTGTGATGTGAATGGGCCCTTGATGTTCAGGTTTGCTTATAAAGGAGACATGCAAGGTTACTGGTGCTTCTGAACATTCAGACAACTAATGGCGATTCAGGCCAGTGCTTTGAGTTTGGTATTGGTTTTTAATTCCTATTGTGTACAAGACAAATGACTGCTAGTATTTAGCTGGTTTCTATGAAGGGCAGCTGTTATACATGATGTTTATAGCATCAACAATTTGCCCAGAATTTTACCTGCTTTATGCTTTTTTGTACAGTTTTTTTACATTTCTTTTTTCCCTTATTGAACTTAGAAATTGCATCATGTAAGCTTTTGTGTGCCTGAGATGCAACACAGATGTATGGCAGTCATAATATCTCTTTGAATTTGCAGAGTTTTATTGTATTAATTTACTTGGATTTTCACTTGTTCTCATTTATCTCAAATATAAAGGTGCAGCGCTAAACACTAAATATGCAGCGTAGATCTCGTCAATCGATTAAAAGAAAAATGAGAAAATGCAGTCTCTTTAAAATAGTGCAACATGAGAAAGTTAATAACGTGCTCAGTACATAGGTATAGATTTCCAGTAATAATAGATTGTTTGCGGGAATAAACCAATATAAAATGTACAGATAAATAAATAGATAAAATTTGTACATAAATGATGTCACCAATCGGTGAATAAAGTGCAAAAAAGTCCCAGATGTATTGCCCACGTGAGGATCCTGAATGATCCCGATAAGCGTGTGTGGAGGGTTACTTCCAGTGGCAGGTGTTCAATATGAATGAAATGCGCACTCACCAGAAGTGCGTGTATAAATGCATTTGAGATATAACCTATCTCAATAGGTATGATTCAGGTCATCCACCTCCCAGATCAGGTCAGGATACTCCCAGTCACATCTGCATGCAGCACTCAGGGATCCTTGATGCGTATCGCCTTAGGGGCTCACCCATAGTGCAGTCTCATGTGATAGGGATTTCAGGATGGCCACCTGCGGTGGCTAGACGTCCAGTTGCTGTAGCCCCCTTTCCTCATTTATACCATACTGACATGGTATATTATCTGACTGGCACACCTCCCAATTTTCAGGAAGGAGAACACCTTAGTCATGCCCTCAGTTACACAGTTGATACAGAAATAATCGCTCCAACCCAATCATTGGAAAATATAAAGAAATGTCTCTTTCCAGTGACTATCCAGTTATTCACAAATAAAGTGCTTGGCCCAAGCACTAGGATCAGAGGAGCGTACTCATATTCCGAGTGCCGCACCACAGTAATTGAGCATAGTTGTCAAGGAGAGATGGATGACATAGTTGTCAGTGAGCTATGGACTGGTAATCATCAACTTGCAACATGTAAAGTATTTTTTGAAAATTCCTGAACTAGCTAATCATATAAACCCACAACTGTTGTCACTGTCTTAAATTGAATGTCACTTTCTGAGTTACTTAATGTATACAATTTTCTGAAATGTCATATGCAGCATTGATTTTCAGTATCTTTTGAAAAGTGAGCATCCCTTCTCAATTTTCTCATTTTTATTAGAGCAAATTAAGATATATATATATATATTTTTTTTATATTTTTCTTTCATTCCAAAGACCAGTTCTGTATTGCTAGACCACTGAACTGGAGACTGCTTGGTTTCAAAGCTTGCATTTTCAATTAACAGATATGGCTGGGTTCCACAGTTCAGTAAGCAGACAAGTTTCCCATTGTCACGGCTGTCACATGATGGGGACCAAAGTGCAAGGAGATAAGGCCAGCTCCGCTATCTTTGCTCAGTCAGTCAAGGTGTCAGCCCCTCACACCCTAGAGAGCATCATCTGGAGATAAGATTTAAGGGTCAAATCCCCCTACTGTACTGGGGTTGTGATAGAAAACCTAACCTTGAGTGCTTTTGACAGCAGGAAAAAAAATCCAACTCTGTCTAATGTTTTACATGCCTGTACCTCTGAGTCACAGTGGCCTATAAAATGCCAATAAGCAGAAATAAATAGATTTTTTCATTGGCCTGACTTTTTTCAAGTGAAATCGCATTGATATTGGCAGGGGCAGACTGACCATTTGGAAACTCGGGCACTGCACGAGGGCCTGGGGTCAGTAGGGGGCCCCATGAGATGCCCCTGGTACCTTTTTCATAGGCTTTTTTGAGTTTGGGCAAGGACACGGGCCCCATGATCCCCTATTGCCCGGGGGCCCCATGAGTTGTCAGTCCGCCCCTGGATATTGGTTACTATACTGTACACATATCAATGCTCTTTGAATTTCTTTGCTGCATTCTTGAATAAGCAGATATTGTCTAAATACAAAAGATGTTCTGCCTTGAATCTGTATGTTTTGTGTATTTCTTGCAGATCTGTGCACTCATCCAGTATGAAATTTTGCCTCGCTGCAGGAGCTTTCCTGTAATAGACTGCTGTCTCTTCTTTTTGCAGGGTGACTGATACTGTATCTGCCCGCTCCTGTAGTTTTCTATAGGCAGCTTGTAGTGGGTGGAGCCTGCTGGGTCCCTCCCACAGCTTTGCTATCTGCACAGGTTATGATGTTGCTGCTTCTTTTTAGAAGAACGTATCTGCATTTGTAAACCCATTTGGTGCATTTGATTTGTATCCATTTGTGCTCCTGCTGCTGTCAATCAAATCCTGTGAGGAGGTGGGGCTGAGCCACACTGTGTGTCTATGCACACACACCACCCAGCACACGAGTGAGCATGCACATCTGTCCACGTAGCAAGCATAGACACAGAAGAGTAGCCAAGAACACCAGGGGACGTACAGGGCTGCCGTGTGCTGCTGTGTTAGCTGCTCAGAGCAGCGAAGTATAACATGTTTATTAATTTAGAAATGAAAGCTGATCCTTTGCACCCCGGTCACATTGATCCTGACTTTGAAATCGTGAGACTTCACTGTCGGGATGTCATTGCGATTTGAGGTGCGATTTGCAAGAAATCTGACACAGATGTCTATACAAATTGCACCAAAAGTAGTGCATGTACTACTTTAGAATTGGTGCGGCTCCAACCAAGTCGGAACCGCACTGATACGAACACTGTAATTGTGGACAATAGGGTGCGACTTGGCATGCGATTTGCAAGTTGCCTGGCATGCAAATCACATACCAAGTCGCACCCAGTGCAACCGGGGTCTTACAACTGCTTTAAGAGAGATATTTGTAATTTTTTAGTTCAGCTTTTATGATTAACACCTATCAACAAGTGACTTGCACGCCAAATCTTACATTTTGGTGTTTGTGAGACTCTTCCTGCATATATATATATATTTTTTTAAATATAACATCCTGCTGCATGGAACCACGGTGCCATGCAGTTTGGCATGCACAAAAGTGCATACGTTTTGCCCCATGCATGGGATTGCCATTAATGCTAAAGAGCAGTGTTTTTATCTGCTGAACTAGGTGCATTTTGCATATTTGGCCGTCTTATCCTAGGTTCACACCAAAGCGTTTTCTGCAGTGTTTTGCAGAAATGCAGTACAGTCCATTTAACATGATTTCCTAAGGGACAGGTTCACATCTTCTTGTTTTCACCGAATGCATTTTTTGGAAAGGGTCAGGGACTTTTTTGAACGCAAAAAGTTGCGTTTTTGTTTCTATAGACTTCAATGGAAACACTGCAGAAAATCATGTATTGCGTTCTTGCTGCATTTTTTATTTTTTTTAAATGCATGTTGCATTTTAAATCTGCCTACCAACAAGAAAAAAAAGCAAAACACATCAAAAACCTGGAAAAAATGCATAAAACACGCAGCGCAAAGCGCAATGCAAAAACGACTCAAATATATCCTGCATAGATGTGAACCTAACCTTAAAGTGGTTATAAAGGCTTTTTTTTTTTTTATATATATATATCTCTTGAAAATAATAAAGGCATTACCTTCTCTCTGCAGTAGCATTGCACAGAGCAGCCCCGATGCTTCTGGTCCCTCCTCCTTGCCGAGTGCCCGTGCTTGCTTTGGGGTCACTCGTGCATACTCCCGAGCGTCCTCTATGTGTCTATGGGACACACAGAGCGTGACTCCTCCTCCACAGAGTGTCCCTCCCCCTCCTCACTGGCTGCGGTTTACAGCATCAGGAGCCAATGAAGAGGGAGAGACCTGGGGGAGCCAATGAAGAGGGAGAGACCCGGGAGCGCCAATGCTTTTGTGCACATCGCTGGATCAAGATCGGGCTCAGGTACGTATTGGGGGGGCTGAGGGGGAAGCTGAGCACTGAAGGTTTTTTTTTTTACCAACAAATGCATGAAGGTAAAAAACCTTCAGGCTTTAGAACCACTTTAATGATCTTTATTTTAGCCATGTGACTGAGATTTTCAATCTCATTGGACAAAAAATAGTCACTTTTTGGAAAGGAAAAATCTGTATCCTGAAAGCAACCAGCAAGATTAGCAAATTTAAAAGATTATTTAACAATTATATTTCTAGATAGGTTAAATAGTTTGAACAGCGAGATACCCTAAGGAAACTGTTTAAAAACCTTGGCAGCAATGCATTTTCCAAAGGAGCATCTGGCAAGACACTAAACTGAGAGTCTGGAGTATGGGGTCCTTTGTAGGTCATCCTTCTTACACTTCTCTGTTCAGTCTAATAATTTCTTAATCCTTTCTAACAAGTTGATTCCTCCCTTCTTTAAAGTCTATTGCTGGCCATACATGGCATTCGTCTGATTCCTGTGAATTAGCTGAAGTTTGAGCTGTGGGTGGCTCTCCTATCACCACCTGGCTCAGCAATTTGAGAAATTGAAGGAGCCAGGTAAAAAAAAGTCAACCGACTAGCCAATAAGCTGCAGTTACCTTTCGGGTATTCTGGCAGCCACAGGTGCCAGCTGTCAGACTGTAGCTGTCAGCAGGAGATTTATCCATCCGTGCTGTTTCACGGATGGGGAATCTATGGATTCCACTTGTGCAGAAATCTAGGTTAAATTTTAAAAACGCTTTACACGCTGCATGACGTTAAAGTCTAATCCTCTTTTATCTAACATCACCCGGTTTATTCCACACTGGCTGTGAGAGAGATGTCATGTAGAAAGTATGTGCTCGAAAGGGGAAGGTCTTCTTTAATTCTATTGGTACCATGATTAAAGCAGCCAGTGACTTGGACAAAATTATGCTATAATTAAAATAACAGCAGTAGCAGGCAGTTCAGCCGTGTCATCTTTATGTGACAGATTAAACTAAAAGCATTCTTTCTGCTGGCATTCTACCTCATACTAATGCAATGCTATTCTTCTCCCCTCATTATTGTGTGACCATCTATCCACCTACTGCCAAGGCCTCTGGGGACAGCCGAATAGTGACAAGACCCTGACAAGGCCAGTCCTCTAATCTCTCCACTAAAGCTGCTGCTGTGACACACTGTTTGGTCGCCAGCATTTAAATCATTCATTCCTCTCAGTGGCAGACATTGCACAAAACTGTTTTTCTGGCAGTGACAAAATCTCATTCCTAAAAATAAAAATAGAGCGCTGAAGTCATTTACATGTCAGTGCTGAAAATGGAAAAGTATTTTAAGCCAACTGTGATACTGTTGAATCTTTGTAGCAAAGTGCTTTTTGGTTTTATGACATTTCCTGTGCTTGGATCTACATGTAGTTTACAAATCCCAAATTGACCATGCTGAATTTTGTTACACTTGTGCACATTTTGCTGTAGTCAAAAGCGAAGGCTGAACTCCAGGCAAACTGCTAAATACACAGATGCAATACATTTAAACAGGGGAGGGGGATCTGATCTCTCTCTTCTGCAGGTCTTTTTGCTCCCCCAGCTTATGACTAGACAGTAAAAAAAGAAGCCGCCAACTCATCTGTCACACTTCTTTCTCCTGCTATCAACTTGTTCCTTGCTAGAACATGAGATCTGAAGTCCTACAGTAATTGATTGGCTCTTTGCTCTGCGAATACCAGGCCATACGGTTCTGCTATCAAAATACAACATCCTGGGGGTGGAGTTTTGGGGCAAGCTTCTACCATCTACTGTGTTTGCGTGACGGATGGATGAATCTATTTGTGGGGGTTTTTTTCCATTTTTTTTTTTTTGGTTCCACCCATTTAACCAAACATAATCTATGGTTAAGTGTAGTAAAAAAAACAAACGGACAGTACTTAAATTGAATAAAAAGTATCCCTTGTGCTTGTGGCTGCTGTGTTGCTTGAAATCTTCAGATCTTGGATATGTTCCCCAAGCTTTGATCTGCTCCTGCACCTGTCATGCACTAATCAAAACCGCTGACACTGCCAGCTTTTTCTGCCCTCTGCTTACATTCATAGAAGCTGTAGTATTGGTTCCCGCAATGAATAGCACTCTATGAATAAAAAAGTTGGACCTTTCATTTATCTGTCCATTCTTGAAGGCAGTACCTGGACCCCATTGGACTGGATAGTTGCAAGGCTTAACTGGAATGTGACCTTTGGCCACTGAGCTTTTCCATTTTGGCGATTTCAAGACTAACGTGTAGCTGTAGAGCGTTTTCTGGTTCTAGAGTCATGACAAATCCTCTGGTGTGAACCTGTATCTGGAGACTCACTTTGTGGGTGGTGTAGGCCGAGTACTGTTTATTACAACTGATGGGCATTATTATTATCCTTATTTTCTGTTTTTTCATCACAGGAAAGTTTAAAACACTGAGGTACAGAGTGCTGTCACTATCAGGCACACAGCGCAGTCTTGTTCCTGCCATTCAGGAACTCTTTCTGCAGGAGACGCACAGTTCAACCTTGGTTAGTCCTTGCTGTCATCTACAATGACCTGGTCACCTTCAGCTTTCTGAACCTCTCCTGCTCGAAGTAGTTCATAAATACGAAGAATTGGCCTGTTATCCTGAACTAAGTTGACCCTGCCTTGCAGTGCAAATTATTGGATCCTGGTCACATAGGGAGTGGTCCCTCTGTACTGAGTCCCTCCAGCTTGTAGTGCATTAACATTTCCGAGGCAGCCTTCAGTGCTCGCTCCAAAGGGCCTGACATTAACTACCTGAAACATTATCCCCTGTTTGAGTCCACTACACTTTTCAGAGTCTTCCTTATCTCTTTTAGGAATTACCTTTCTTTGGCCATGTTCCAGGAGGCGTTCACCATATATTCAAGATTTAATGGGCCAAATTGCAACCTGTATTACTGGCTCTGACCACAGAGGTAATAAATATACCTCCACACCTGTCTTTTATCTGACATGCCTCCTCTAGATTAGGAGTACCAAACCTGCTGCTCACATGCCGCATGTGGCCCAAGGTGTTTATGAATGCAGGCCAACACAAAATTATAAATTTAATTAAAAATATTGATTTTTTTTTTTGGTGGAGGTTGT